TCTGCCTGTCTCTGCCTCTGCTTCCCAAGTGCTAGGAGGCAGTGTGCCACCACAATCTGGTAATTTTATTTTATTTAACTTTGTTTTTGAATTTGAAAATAAGTTCTTCTCTTGTAGTGTGTACCATGTGGTTTCCTGCTTCTGGGGAGATCAGGGAATGACATTGGATTTCCTGGAATGAGAATTCTAGACAGCTTTGAGTAGCTACATGGCAGATGGACCAATACCCAGTCCTCTGCAAGGGAAGCAAGTGCTCTTAACTGTGAGCTACCACTCCAGTTCGCTATTCATTTGTTATAAACAATTATCTAAGTTGATAAGATTGATGATATTCACTGCAAACCAAAGTCCCCTAAAACTATACTATATTGTGTTCTCTAATCTCTTCTCCAATCTCTAATTTGGAGCTAAAATTCTAGTTTGAAAAGTCTCAAACCTCTGTCTTTTTTGTTGTTTCATTTTGTCTTTTCATAAATTCTAGAGCAGAATAACCTGCTCTGACAATATTCATTTGTTCTTTCTTGCAAAGCATTAATTGCTGGGCAAGTCAGGCCCCTTTATATGAAAACACTTGCACTTTTGAAAGAAGGGGCTGTCTATGATATGGATTATTATTTTGAAATATAGGTATAATTGCATGCATTAAATGCCTTCAAGTGTCCTTTCCTTTTTTCTTTCTGAGAAAAAGTTTTGAAGAAAGTTGAGTATGCCCAGAGGCATTCCTGTCTGCTGTCTTCATGGTGCCAAGCTAGACAATCCCAGAAGAAATTCTGCCAGCCAGCCATTTTAACCATTTGAATATGTGAATATTGATCCTGACTTCAGCATGTTCTAAACATGTCTACTGTCTTTTCCTTCTTGAATTGACCATAACTGAGTATGCTCAGGGATATGTTTTCCTGTAATATGCTTAATTATGTAAATATATGTTATATATATATGTGTGTGTGTGTGTGTGTGTGTGTGTGTGTGTGTGTGTGTGTGTACTATATAATATATAATGGTGTGTATCCCAACTATCCTCATGCTTTCTTTTCTCTAGAGACAACCTAATCCCTTAGCTCACTTCAGGAAGTAGGTATTAGTGACAGGAATTCAAACTGAGCAGTATATGAGGAAGAAAAAAGGTCCAACTGAAGATTTTGCAGTTTCTTTTATACCCCAACCTTTGGTGTGTACAAAACACTGAACAAATCACTTAAACCAGGTTAGAGTGACACTGTCTGGGATAGCTCTACAGTAGTACCTATTTTCAAAGAGTGATTTAAGGATTAAATGCTTTGTAAGACTTATATAATTCCATACCATTATTAAATTGTTCAACGTATTTTAACTCCAATGGATACTTATTGTTCTGATAAACAGCAGCCAGGTGGTATAGTTTCTGGAGCTGGGCTGGTTGCTAGCAGAGATCTAGCACTTCTGCCTAATCTCTTGCTAACACATGGACATCTAACTGCAGGTCCATGAGTCTCATGAGATACGTCAATTGATCAGGATGGCAGGCTCAATCTATAATCACGATGATACTTTGGTAGTGCACACAGAGAGCCATCCCGGCCTCATTGAAGTTAATCTGACACAAGGGGATAAAGGATGGCATCTCCATTCACAAAAGAGGTAACAGATGGACTTCTGCAAAATCCACTTCTTAGCTTAAATTCATTTGTTTAAATCTTTTTGTCTGATGAGATGGCATCCAGACAGGAATTTTAAATTGTTCTCCTGGAAATGAATATTTCTCTGTCATTATTAGAACCTTCTTCTATTTGTTCTATTACCCTGGATGGCTTTCTTGTTTATGTTAGACAAATACAACAAACATCTTTTTAAATATTTTTCCTAAGAAAAATATTTCCATTCTATAGCTTTCAAGATAAATATTGGATTAGACACTTCATAATCAAACTGAGTGAAAACAACTCTCTAAAATATTTTCACAGTTATTCCACTTCTTGTAAGTTCTGATGATCCTATTATCTCTACTTTGCATCATGAATTTAAAAATGGATATCTTAATTGTACATTTAAAGTTTTGAGATTTATGCCTAACCCAGCATTTCAGAAAAAAATTAAAAATATATACTCATTTTTGTTGGTATTAAGAACATGAATGCAAAAAAATCAGACTGACAATAGATTTATAGTTTAGCATTTAACAATTTTACCTAAATTACTTTTCTGCTAAAATGAGCCAATTAAAGTCATTGGGGTTTAAATAAATGGTCTGGGGACATGAGTGAATAAGTAAACTGCTTGCTATATAATGGAGGAGACCTAACTTCAGCACCAGGAGACAGAGCAGAAGGGTCTTGAGCTCACTGGTATTTGCCAGCCAGTCTAGTCAAGGTGGATATGCCCACACTTATTACCCCCCGAAAGAGAGAGAGAGAGAGAGAGAGAGAGAGAGAGAGAGAGAGAGAGAGAGAGAGAGAGAGAGAGAGACTCATATTTCAACATTTGTCAGAGAAAAATCTGAGTGCTTACAAAAACTCTTATTTTCTTAATATTCTTTTAAAGTTTCGTTTTCCTATATTTGTAATAATAATCATTATAAACATAACTAGATATTTCGCTATTACAGGAAGTGCTATTTTTCATCTTTATTATGAAATAATTTTTACTATTATCTTAAATTCATTAAGAGGAGGTCTCTGTTGGCATGTTTTTGTCCCCACTATCATGGAACAGATTGAGTTTCAGCCATTCATGGTTTCCCTCACCTCTGTACCTCTCTCTATGGATATCTCAGCCCACCACAATGTTCTCTTTCACAGGGAGCTACTTCCAGGGCCAAAGGAGGAAAACGCTAAGGAAAGCAGGGCTTTGGGCTATTTTACTCCCTGCATTATCCACACTAAAAATATGGGTGTTAGGAATGAAAGATTCAATGGTTATTGAAGTAAAAAGTCGAAGTACATATTCCCTGACAGGGCTTTGGTACTCTTTTCTTCCTGGAGTTAATAGCTCCTTGCCCCAGAACATCTGCTTTCTTTTGTCTTTCTCATTTTGAGATTCCTTGAAAATGAATCTTTTGTTTCTAGATTGCCCTGAAATGTTTCTTAAACACCTGTTTGGTGAATTCATTTACTTTTGTTCCTTAGAACGGAATACATGATTGCTTATAATTGGGACAACCTTGATGAATATTAAAGCAGAGGCATCATTCTCATTAAAAATGGAGCAGAGGTTAAGGTTAACTTGAGTAGAATGTATTCTATTCATGAAAAAAAAAATATTTTTAAAAGTAACTACTGCTTATATCCTTTATAAAAGATTTTTTTTCTTTCAAGCTTTACATGGTATTAAGCTAATGCAACAAGATATACTTTTCCTTCTCTATTAAAGGCTGAGGTGATAATGGCGCTTCAGCACTATAAATTATAAGCATTTCATGTCTGTACACTTCTGAATGGGCTTAAGACTTCTAACAAACCCAGACGAGCAAAAAGATGTGCTTTGTTTTATTGTTCCCTTAATGTTACAGGGAAGAAACTACAGCCACACTAAGGCCTGAGGGGAGAAAATAATATCTGAAATCATAGAAGGAAGTTTCCAAGGCCTGTGTCCTCCCAGACCCAGACATTCTTTCAACTTAAATGTGCTTTCAACAGACACAGATGCTGTTTTTATGTATTTAGATTCTCTTGTGTGTGTTTCCTATTCGGACAGGGTCTCATTAGGTAGCCCCTGTTTAAATAGAATCCTGATCTCCCTCTGCTCATCTCCTCAGTGCTAGGATAACAAGTGTGCCCCATCACATCCAAATACAATTATTTTTCACAAGGCTCCAATCAGGACATCCTCTTCATAGCTCACAAATGCATCCTTCTTTATACCTGGGTATCTGTATCTGTCCATCCCTATGTCTCAGAGATACTTCCCTTGTTTTCACATTTGATAACAGAGAACAATGAGTGACTTTTAGAGTATATAGATAGCTCTAATTTTCCTCTGCACTCTCTCTGTGGTATACAGAAGTGCCATGATGCTTTATTAATGCTCGTCTTTTAACACTTTTTTTTTTTGCTATGGATTAAAACCAAAGGTATTAGTATTATCTTCATTTCCACATTCCCTTTACCACTGTCTTTCTAGAATTCAGTATCATCTCATTTGAATTTGTGCAGTTTTGAAGGCTTTATCGTGTCTTTATTGAAACATTTTAATGCTATGCAAAATGAAAAGAATGTTCTCTTTCATATTGTCTGTGTGTGTGTGTGTATGTGTGTGTGTGTGTGTGTGTGTGTGTGTGTGTGTGTGTGTGTGTGTGTGTTTACTCATGAACTCACTTGTGCACTTGCCAACAGAGACACCTGGGAAGAGCAGCGAGTGCCTTTGGGATGTCCTCCTCCGTCACTTCCCTGTCTTAGTTTGGAGGCGAGATTGCTCACTGAGCTTGAACTAGCTGTTTCATCTAGACTGGTTAGTTGGTCCACGAACTCTCAAGATCTGTCTGTCTTTACTCACAACTCCAAAGTTGCTGGCGTACACTGCAATACCTGGCTTTCTATGCAGTTGGTGGGGAATTGAATCCTCCCTTTCACATTTTTTTAAGAAAAAAAATTAGTGAAGTAAAGTTCAAGATTGCAAAAATTGTGTCATATTAGTTTTCACTATGTAGCTGTTGTACTAGGTTCATTAAGCATAAAAAATTCTACATTATCAAAGACAGATAGAAGCATTATTTTAGTAACACCACAAACTGATTCACTATAAAACAGCAGATTTTACAAAAAAATCATATTGAATTTTTATTAAAGATTTTTAATGGTTCTGTAACAAGAAAATTCACAAATATACTCAGGTATGAAAAAGTTTCATTTTTACATGTATTTACATTTGTTAATTTATTAGAGTGTAAATTATTTTATGTTGGGATGATACAATGAAATAAATCCCAAAACAGAATATCTAGACAGGACAGACCATTTATCATGTGATCAACCAGTACCAAATGAATACATTCACAGAAGGAAGAAACAAACTCAGACACTTACTGATCTCAGTAGCAATGATGGTGATGTTGTGCCAGACACTTAATTCTCTGTCAAGTGGAGTTGCCAGTGTTATCTTCCCATCATCTGCATTGATGTTGAACTGTCTTTCCAAGTCAGTGTGACGGTCGATGGAGAACCTGCAGAACAGAGAGACCTATAATCTCCTTGTAGATTTCTTTGATGCATACCTTCTACAGCAGACCTTTAGTAATCCTGGGAGATTCATCGTTGTAAAGCCAAATGAATTGGGAAACTCTGTGGCATCATAATTTGTAAAACAAAATGACTGAATGAGACACAGGAAACTTAATAATTATTGTCCAAGGAGCAATTAGACACATATGCAACATGGAGGTCATAAACCACCACCGGTTTCAATAGGCAGCATCTTCAAAAACTGATGCTGATGAAGAGTTAATTGGACAATCCATCACATTTATTAGACAACTTATGATAATTAGCCATTGCCAGTGATACAGTATAAAACAACAAACTCAGGCCAATGCAAAGAGTGCTTACAACATTTTATTCATTACTGTTCAAGGAAATACTGGGTTTTGATAAAATTGTATGTCATACAATTTTCTGTTAAGTGGAGTTGCCAGCATTATTTTCTCACTATATGCACTAACTATATCATGAATTCAATAGGTAGGCAGATAAGTGTCATTGGGTAAATTGTGATTCTTCCATCTTTTCAGCTTTTTATTCATTAGAAATTGTACATGCAATTTTTAGATTAGATTCAAAGACCAGCAAAAAGCTGGATATTATTATTAAAGCCAATTAACAATCACCATTAAAGAGTTTGGAATAGTACTACAAGCTACTTAATGTTATTGACATTTATTTGTTGATGAAATCCTCAATAAAATGAAACAATTAAAGCTATAACTTCTGATTTAGTAATGGCTCAGCTACAAATAAAACTTAGACAGTGACTATTAACCATAAAATATAGGAAAGAGTCCACCTCAACTCTACAAAATAATTGAAGAATTCACAAAGGATTCAAGAACTCTGCCTCATGGGTATTGATAGTTTCAACAAAATGTTGATCATGGGGAGGTATTTATTATAAAATATTTGAGTCCACAGTAACTAAAGACCAATGTCCTTTTCCTGTGAAATAATGGCTGAGTGAACCACAGAGGTTCCAAAGTTAGCTATAAAGTATCTCTGTAAAATTTTGACCCACATACTGTATATGCTCTGATTCTTTTTTTTATTATTCATTTTACATACCAATCACACATCCCCCCCTTCCCTCCTCCCAGCCCTTCAAGAAGGTAAGACCTCCCACGGGGAGTCAGTAGAGCCTGGTACATTCAGTAGAGGCAAGTCAAGCCCCTCACCCTGCCTCAAGGCTGTGCGAGTTGTCCCACCAGAGGTAATGGGCACCAAAAAGCCCACTCTTGCACCAGGAATGTATCTTGATACTACTGCCGGGGGGGGGGGGGGGCCTTAAGCAGATCAAGCTACACAACTGTCTTGTTTATGCAAAGGGCCTAGTCCAGTCCCATGGAAGCTCCACAGGTGGTGGTCCAAATTTCATGAGTTCCCACTAGCTTGGTTTGGTTTTCTTTGTAGATTACCTGCTGGATTAATTATCACTTCCTGAACTATAATTTTCTTAAATACAATTTCAGGCATCTTTGGGTTCTAGTAATTTTATTTTTGTGGTGCTGTTATTGGAAACATTGATGCAAAAAGTTTCTCAGAGGCCATAGTAAATGAGAACTAGCCAAATCACTGATGTCCAGTGAGCCACTTGTCCAGTGAACATTCCGTGGCTATCTGGTGGTTATGCTGTGAGTGACTGGAAACTCTAGCTTAAACTACTTAGAACAGTGTAATGTATTTTAAACAAAGTTCCTTTCTTATTCGCTTCTTCCAATTTGAGGGATAAAGACAAGAAACTTGTTCAGAATATATCTGCATTGCGTTTTGCTTCATGTGTATGTGTGTGGTTTGCATGTATGCAAGTGTATGAGTATGTGCGTATATGGATACATTTACATGTATGTATAAGCATATCTGGAAGTCCAAGACTGATTTCAGAATCTTCATTAACACTCCCTCCACTTTATTCTTTGTGATAGAATCTCTCAATCTTACACATAGTTTACTAAATCAGGTAGTCTCCCTGGCCAACTTGCTCTGGGGATCCCCTGTTTTCATCTTCAGAAATTACAGGTGGGGATTTAAGCTCTGATCCTCATGGTGGCACAGCAAGGTCTGTAACCACTGAGCCTTCTCCACAGACCATTATACTTGTGATTTAGTGTGGATTATTGTTTCTGGGCTAATTTATGAACTCACTTGACCTTTATTTCTTTGTTGGAAAATTATGAAGTGCCTATATATATAGGAAATTGATTTGCAAACTAGGAATAAATCATACATAAGTCTTTGGTTCTTCATAGGTACTAAGGACAGGTCCATTTATTAATAATTGTTAAAGTTGCTCAAAAAATTAATCTTAATCTAGTTGAAGGGTAATGGAGATTGACACAACTCTAACTGTATGTAAAAGGCATAAATCTGTAAAAGCTCTCGATGTTTTCTAACTTCCACAACTCTAGTAAAGAACTAACTATTTATTTCAGCATTTAAAATTCCAGTTTATTATAGACTTCAGGGGGTGGGCCATTAGAATAATACAATAATTACAATCTTTTATTAATATCACAATTAAAACCATAATAACATTATATGATTCCACAATGGTGGGAACTTGATGGGAAAAGTGATTCAGTTGAAGGCTATTTTCCACTTTAACTGTGTCAAGAAAGACTTTGGTGCTTCTAAAAAAAAGTTTGTTTCAAATATTTCATTGCCAGATTGAGTTTAGGATAAATTTTCTGAAGAGTGGCTAACCTATAAGAAAATTTGGACAACATTATGCTCAGGAAGAAAATTTCAACCCTGGATATTTGCCAGTAAGTGTAGATAGCTTTTCTTTCTGTACTTTATCAGGGTCTAGGAACACAAAGTGCATAGGAATTGGGATATTTGTCATCCTTTATATAAACTGGTATAGCATCTGTACATAAAATTTAATTTTTGTTACAACTCCACAGATATTTTAAATGATTTTTAGACTACCTATAATATCTAATGCAGTATAAATGCAATGTAAATTGTCATTGTTTTTGAAATAAGAAAAAAGAGTTGCATATGTTTAGTACAGATATAACCATCCTAGCTTTAACCATGATATATAGAGGAAACATGGAAATTCTGGAGACTGAGGATATATGCAATGTTATAAAACTATTGTAGGGTAATCCTACATATTATTTTATTCATATAAATTAAGAATTACATTTAGTGGATAAACTTTGCTTTCCATAACTTTATGAAATAGTTTACATTTCTGGATGGAATCAAAGTTATTTTGAGTCTACAATATAAGGCTCCCAGGTTAAAAAAAAAGCTATTATACAATGAATAAAATAGAATTTCTTAAAATAATGTGATATTTATATACTCTATCTAGTAAATAGAAAGTTAGAATAAATATGTATGTGTGATTCCTTCTGAAGTTCATTCATAGATCAAAGAGAAAGTATTTAGCATTGGATAGTAATAATAGCTAATATTACTGTGAGAACTAGATGAGATGTTTATACAGGGCACACTGTGCTGACCAATATGAAGTAAGTATGGCCTCAAGGGCTCTCATATCACTTATGGGTTAACATCATCCGGGGTGCTACATGTACACATAGTATTAGAAATACAAAGAGGATGCAGAATGTTATGTTGGGATGTTTTGTGCCCCCAAACTTGTATTTAGGAATCCAAATCCCCAATAAATTGGAGGGTGGATGGCTGAGAAGAATGATCTTCTCTTACAAATGAAATCCAAGAGAGTCTGAACGCCTTTCCTTACCACGTGTAAAGACAGTGAGATAGTAATCTACAGTCAAGCAAAAGAGGGAGCTCATCAGATACTGTTTTGCTGGCATTCTGGTCTCAGAACTTCCCAACCTCTGGAAGACTGAAAAATAAATTACTTAAGCTTCCCAGTCTGGTACTTTGTTAAAGTCTCCAGAATAGACAAGACTCAGTCTAAGAGGTAATACTTTTTCTCAATTGGAATCCACCAATTTGAATATATTAGTAATTTCTAAGTATTAAATTTTGAGATCTAAGTAAAGACGGTTCACTAAATAAGATAATTAGGATTTAGGCTTCTAAATGCCAGGAATAAAGTCTTCTATTTTTCATCATTTTTATATAGCTCTGGATAAATTTTAATCCACCTCATTTTCTCACAAACTCTGCTCTCATGTTTGAGAGCATAGTTAGTTTGTGTGTTTCTTCTTAGGCTATCAGGAAAGTTCCAGGCCATGTAACATTACATTTTCATAGCCCTTGGCATAATGTACAAGGGTCACTGGTTTGGGTTCATAATTTCCTATCAAGGATTCATCACTAGCAAATTACAGAAAAGAAAAAAAAAACACTCAAGGAAATGTAAGTTGGCCTAAACACAATAAATCAGGAGTAATGACTTGAAGTTTAGAATCTGATGTGACATATAATTCCTGAAAACATGACCATTGGAGGCAAATGCTTCAGAAACATACCCTAGTCACTAAGCTACTCCAGATTGCTCCAATGCTGCACTGAATACCATTACAGAAGGGAGAACACATGCTGGCCTCTGTGACTCTTCAGCTGAAACTCAATATGGGCCCGGGGGATGGGCAGAGAGGAAAGGGGATCATCACACCAAACTCTTAGTTTTAGTTACCAGTCTATAAATTGTAAAACATATCTACTTTACAGTATATTGCTTTGTAGTGAGTTGAAAATAACTGATAATAGGTATAAAAGTAAATCTATACATGTTGAGATCTTTGAGGGACCAGACTGCTTGTGGGAAAGAGAGTCCAGAAATAGAAAGAGGTGAGTAAAGATCCTAATTCAAATACTTTAGTAGCTTTTAGAAGAGTTAACTGTCTTAAAAGACTCTAACACTATTTCCAAACTCTTTGTGGTATTTGTCTACATTGCTATTCACCTCTGGGTCTGTGGGTATCTCAACAGAACATAGACTCCAGCAGAAGAGAAGAGAAACTGCACTGGCTTTCTAGGGCATGGTTCTTCCACGTCATCTTTACCA